TTNNNNTNTNTATNNNNTNNNCNNNNAAAACACGGTGATTTTTGTTAACAAGAGATTGAATATGTAATAGCTATACTTTTGGTAAGTATATATATACAACTTTTCTTATTTTTATAACGACTGTAAAAATGCATCTTGAGTTTAATTTTAATAATATATTTATTTATACATATTATAAGAGTACAAAATTCTAGAAAGGTTAAATCACGATCTCGCGATATTGAGAAAAAAATAAAATACATAATACATAAAGCATATAAGTATACATACATACATACATACATATATATATATAATAAAAGTATTTTTGAAATAAAATCAATTATATATTATATATCAATAAAATATGTCTTTCACTGTTGAATAAAAATTTAGTATAGGCTGAGAGAGCATAATCCAAATACATTTGCCACACGCGATACATTTTCATGCTATATATGTATATATATATATATATATATATGTGGATGAATTTTATATAAGGTTCTCTCTCAGCCCTTCGTACATATAAGCCCTCTTAGGTCGCTCAGCTTTTATATTGGAGTATTGATCCTCTCTTGCCTTCTATGTGTTTCGACTTCCATAAACGTAATAACTTTCCAGTCGAAAAAAACCGAAAAAACGTGATTGTCCCTGGGCGTGTCGTTATATCGATAAATACATAAAGCGTCTGACACTCAAGCCTGACAATATCTGCGAAAATTACAGCGAAGCAAAGAACACCGACGGATATATTTACACGTGTAATCATTGATAAAAGCAGGTTACTCATTAATTGTCACGCGCGTGTGCGTTACGCGAAAACAATTTTTCAAAAAATCTTCATTAAGACCGTATTAAATAAACATTCTCGGATGGACATTTATATTTTTTTTCACTGATGTAACACACACACGCGAGTTTTCAACATTTACGTAGTTGCTTGTTTTTCTATCCTCGACGTTCATATTTTAAATGTTGATGCAGCACGGTGTTCGATTGATTGAATCTGACAATTGCGCGACCGTTCGGTATCTATGTACATATATGTAAACCTACCGGTGCACATTTTTTCGCGCGCGTCAAAAATAAAAAAATGATTTTTTTGTGTGTGCAACGTATCAGTGAATTTAATCGTCGTTCTCGCTGCTTATCGACGTGCCACGCTCGGGCGTATATATTGCCACGTCGCATCAATATTTAAACAGCGAGATACAATCAATTTACGGCCACAAGTTTGATCAATTAACACTGTGGAATCAGTCTTGCATGCATTTTTACGAAAAATTATTCTATCGTAATACAATGATGTTTAATAATACAGAGATATCGATTTGCGATGTGTATGTCATTTTTTGTAGAAATATTTCGAACATATATTACAATGTCCTCATGTCACATCATGAAATTTTTACGCGTTTCACTTTTGATGTAATCTTTTTTCTTTTAATTTGTAACGAAAGAAGAAATTTAAGGAAAACATTAATAATGAGGTTTACCGACACACACTGTGTCGCTCACATTTAAAATGCAGATGGATTGATTTTGTCAACTCTTGATCGCGAGCTAATAAATAAACGATGAAACTGATTTAATTAATTAAGCTGATCACGATCTTCAATGGGCGTTCGTGAATTTGACGACATCGTATTTATTTTTGACAGTGATACCTCCGCACTTTTGCGCAAGGAATCCCTTATTATGGCGGGAGAAATAAACGGATGGACACAAACACTCCACGCTGACGGCCAGTTCAACGAACGAAATTTGTTCGATGTCGCGCGTCCAATTGTTCGGATGATACCGGCTGGTGTTATAAAAAAGCTCAATAAACGTACAAACAGAAAAAAAAACACTAATCCGTACATGTGTAAAACGTTATCTTAGTTTAGAAACAATTTATATCAAGCGTTATACACGTATTGAGTACATTATTCTGCAATTGCGATACCGACGAAAGTGCCAATCATTGTGTGAACTATTATGTAGTGTTACGATTTTTTATGAATTTTCATAGTAGTATAAATAGGTAATATAGTACAACAGACACAGTGTGTATATAGATAGATATACGTATGCTTAATCATAGAATAACGAGATAAACAATGATATATACAACAAATATTGCGTAATATCACACCTCTTACTATACTTTCGAATCTTGTATTTTGTACGAAAATAGACTGCGAATGAGACAACAATATACAACAATTTTACACTTTTTATCCCGTTTCGTCATTAACGCAACCACCCTCTCGTGTACTTAATCCCGTATTATGCACACCTGCTTTATATACGATATAGAGCGATGCGCTCGCGGGGGTCGCGAGAGGAACGATGATGTCGTGTAATTGCCGCTCCGATTCACGTATTCGACACCTGTCGCGCATGTCGTACGCGCCCATAAACGTGCATTTAAATGCACGTGCGGATTTCGCGGCTCCAATAAATCGCACGAACGCGCGCGACGACTATCGCCTACGCATCGAACGATCTGGAACATCTTCGATCCGTAAAAGCTCCCTTGAATTATTAACTCAAAACTTGCGTGAAAGTGAAACGCGCGAGATCGGATCGCGCGAACGTTCGCGATTTCAACAACGGAACAAATTGGCGGAACAACGTAACAGCATTCATCGGCATGAATTATTTTTCTGACGCGCAGGTACAAGTAAGGAAGGCACCGACCGCGGTGGCGCGACAGACCAGCGAGGACGATGAGATCTCGAGGATCAAGAAGCAGAACAAGGCCGCCGCCGCTCACGCCGAAACGGTGGAGGAGAGGCAGCCGACATCGACGCCCGTTGCCGTTCATCCGCCACCGAGAGAACTTCCGGAGCGAGAACCAGAAGAACAGCCGGTCAGGAGATCGTCGGCTATCGTCAGGTAAACAAGTAACTCTGTCGAACTTCATACAACCGGAACTTTTCTGTTTGATCTCAACTTACTGAATGGTTGTGCAAATTATAATTGAGCTTAATTTTTAATTTTTTTTTTTTTTGACTCCGCGGATCTTACAAACTTCAATTATTAAATTAAATTAAATTGTTAATTGAATTGGATTGAATTCTTTTTAAATGTTTTAAAAATAATATACTAAACGGATATAAGTCCGTCGTTGCAGCGACGAGATCGAGTTTTTGGGAGCAAAAATATATCCGCTCTTAGACTATAGTGACGATATTTGCTTGGGCGAATGTATCCACTCACAGCATTCTAAAGTGCGCATATAAATATACATATACAAGAAGACTAAATAAAGATTTTTTAGAGACGTGTTTAGTTCTCATTACCTTCTCTTATTTTCAATAACAAAAAAACCGAGTTACATGAATTACTAAATAAGTGAAATAAAGCTGTGTGTGATTTTCGCAAGAAAATACGCTCGGCATTAATTTGTAACATCAAAATCATGCTAGTTTGAGAAATGAACACATACAATGTGACAATCACGTAGGGAAATATCCATGAAAATACGTGTAGAACGTGCGTATTGCTCTTCGAAACGCAGCGACTGTACATATGTACATGTATCAAAATGATAAATTCGGTGGCGGTCTCCGAAGGGACAAAAGGTGTGTTTGCTCACGCAGCGATATTAATCACGCCGACCGCAAGAACGGCGAGCCTAGCTGACAGCGCCTACGTCGGCGCTTATGTCGGACTTAGGCGAGGAGTTAGAGTAGAGCGCGAGGATGTTACCCCGTGCGCAAACAAGCAACTCTTAACCGAGTTCTCTTGGCTGCGTTATTAACGTGCTTGTTTGTAATATCTTGTTGCGTAGGAGAACTTCGGCGGAAACTCACGCTCCCCCTGCGGCCAGAAGCGCCTCGTCGGACTCGAGCACTGGTTCCGAAAGCTCGACGGGTTCCGGAATACGCAGCACGGGCGCGCCGTTCACCGCCGAGGAAATGAAGCAGAAGTATCTGTCAAGAGCGCCGCCGACTAGTACGACTACCTCCGTTTCGACGGGACCGGTCTCGACGACCGTAAGGGAGTCCTCGAACATCACCACGCCGTCTCCCAGAGCGCCATTTCAGAGCCGTTTTTTAGGCGCAGGTAATTTAAATGCGTTGCGATTGCCTGTAACTTTGCCGATTCTCGAGAATTTACAACAAATCGACGACTATACAAGTTATCGACGCGTGAAGAGAGTTATAAATAATGGCGCGATCAAAACTGTCTTTATTTATTTTTATTTACCTATCAAAACTGTTTTATTTGTCAAAATCTATTTTTTCAAACTTTATTTATCAAAATATGAAATTCGAGACTTTGTTGACAATGCATTTGTATAAACTCTCTCTCTGCGAGTGTGTAATAAATTTTTTTTTGACACAAAAATAAATAAATTTGAACAACAATATAATAATAATATACAATAAATTTAAACAACAATATATAATAATAATATACAATAATCATTTAAGATGAAGATTTTTCCTCAAAATACAAATTCTTCTACCGAAAATAATTTTTCGAAACAAAGAGAATTAATTTTGACTTAATAGATGCACGTACTCCAATTTGTTAGCAGCACGTGAAAGAAATTTGCTCACAGAATTTGCTTCCATTTACGTATCACGGAGAATTAGAAGGAACAATGCAATGAGTAGTAATCGAAGGTTTAGACCCTTTTATAGCGTTCGCAGCTCTATCCGTGGCGCGCGTCCCAATTTCCGGTCGCGCGCCTATTGTTTACACAGAAGAGAATCGAAAGCACGTCTCTGCTCGCTTCGCGCGCCAGTTCTGGCCTAGCACATCCATTGTTTCTCAGCGTCCCGTCGAGCATCTCGCGGAAATTGGATGTACGGACAAATTTGCGTTTAACCTTTCGCTCCGAATTCGGAAGATGGAAAATTGTGTTTTAATTGTTTCTTTAAATGATAGTGAAACTTTGAACGTACAAGTCTAAAGTCTTTTTTGATCGTGTTCTATATTATTTCACAAATATTATATAACATATACTGAAAAAACTGTTCTGTCATGTGTTCTATAATTTTCTCTTGATAAAATAATATATTATATTATAAGTAGCGCTCTTAAACAACATTTTGTTTAATTAACGTTTTGCTTAATTTTTCATTTTGCTCGTGTTTCTTCAAAAAACCATTTTAAAAAATGTGAAAAAAACACGAACTCAAAGTCAATTCAATTTCACTTCGGCAAACATCGCGTTTGATACATATAACGGGCGGTTCGTGTGTTGTCTATTACACTCGCGCTAATCTCGCATGCGAGAGATGCGCACGTAAAATGTTGCTGCATGAAACGCTGTTACAATTGCTACAACGTTGCAATTCGTAAATGCAACGGCGACGCCGGGCCTCGATGCCAGAACGATACTTCAAGATTTGAAGGCTGAAATTGGCACAGGCAGTAGCAGCGCGGCACGGCGCGGCGCGGGTAATTGCATTACCCATTCACAGCGCTCTTAGTTAACGCTGTCGGTTCGCTTTTCCGGGACGCTACGTGTCTCGGCCGTCACATTTCCGCGTGCGAGTCCGCCGCGTGTTAAGTCGCAGGAGACGTGTTTCGCCGACGGCGAGACACGCGGACGGACGTGGCGATATTCGCGCTTATATCCCTCGCGTTTCCCAACGCTTCTACCATTCTGCCGATCGATACGATCGGTTCTCGCTTTTCTCATCGTGTCTCCGTCAATCGCGAACATGTATGACGGAAATCCGACGAAGAACGTTTCTCTTCCTGCACCTGAGAATCGTGTTCAAAACGTAACATCCCTATGCACGCGGTGATGAATCCTCCGGCCGCTTGTCTCCGGTTGTTTCGTTATCNTGACTATACGTTCGTTCACTCTGATACACGACGATTCGATGTTTCTTATATCGAATTCCGAAACAAATTATTATTGAAGTATATCATTCGAAATCTCCTTTTGAAAAGCAATTTTATCTCATTGTTACTTTATAAACCATAGAAAATGTAGGATACATAAATTAAAAATTTTCTTTTTATTATTTTTGTAAGAATTTAATTAAAAATTTTGAATTTTTTAATCTCGTTACTTTTGAGTTTGAAGAAATTTAAGAGAAAAATGCAGAAATTATAATTAACATTGAAATTGTTTTGTTCGCAGGTAACCGTGCAGCTCCGCCACCGCCGATTCAGACACCGCGAGAAGAACCAGCGGCGAAGAAGAAAGAAGAAGAGGAAGACGAGGATGAGGAAACAAGCAGTTCCTCGGAGGAAACAGAATCAGATACCGAGGAAGAGTCGGAAACGGACGTTCATCCATCGACTGCTGCTCCGTCCGCGGCTTCCGTCACTTCTCAGGAACGTCAGAGAAACGAATCCGCCATGGCGCGCACTGACATCGGACCTCTACTCGCTCGCAGTGCCGAAGCTAGAAGAGGAAGTAAGGAAGATTCGCCATCGACCAGGCAAGTATTTCGTTCTAAAAACACAAAATTATTAATTTTAAAATTTATAATGATTTTTTCTCTATTGATTTTTTCTATATATTGGAAAAATTGATATATAAAATATTCTTTTCATACTATCATATGTGATATAAAATGATTAATATTACATATATACATATATATATTTATTTAATAATATTGTTAAAGTAATTTATTGTACTTTATATATTAACACGTTATTGAAGTAATATTGTTATAAATAATGAATTAAATTCAAAGNTGATATAAACACACTATGATAATTATGTNATAGAAATTTAATCACATATAACAGTTGATGGTTAATGTTATTTTAAATTTATGCTTATGTTTTCAAATACNGATAATTCTCAAAAACATGTAAACAGACAAAATAACACACAAGAGAGTACACACAATATAAAGACAAAATTAAAAACAAGTCTCTATGAAAGCGTTGTAATAAACAAAAATATAATACGCATTTTATGATTAAACTTATTTATTTTAAAATAATAACAATCGAGGTTTTTTAACAAAAATTTTTCATATTTTTTTTGCAATTATTTTACTTTGTTTCTTTTGTAATTTACTTTAATTTGATAATATTATATAAAGTCAATATATATTTATTTTAATAAAATATGAATAATCGGGTTTTTTAAACAAAAATTTGTCTCTCATATTTTTCTCGCAATTATTTTACTTTGTTTTTTTTTTGCACTTTACTTTAATTTGATAATATAAAAAGTCAATATATATATATATATTCGTTTTAATAAAATAATAATAATCGAGTTTTTTAACAAAAATTCGTATTATATTTTCGCAATTATTTTACTTCGTTTCTCTTGTAATTTACTTTAATTTGATACTATATCAAGTCAATACGTATTCATTTTAATAAAATAGTAATAATCGAATTTTTTAACACAAATTTATCATATTTTTTTTCACAATTATTTTACTTCGTTTCTTTTATAATTTACTTTAATTTGATGATATGTAAAATCAATACCAGAGGTTTCAAAAAAAATCGCAATTGTTATATTATCTGTTTCATCTCAATTATTTTATAATACTTTTCTCTGTAATGTTATCGTTGTTAGAGAAAAATCTCTGGTTTTGTCCACTTCCACGCATTTGCTGCTCATAGACGTTATTATCGCAAAGCTTTCGTTCGTGCGTTGCAGCATCGCAAACACGCATCCGAACGGTTCTCTCCTGCCGCATCCGGGAATTACGAACGCGCTCGTTGAATTTCGAAGTAAGCGTTTTCTTTCTCGCATTCTCCTCGCTCGAAACTGTGGCCTAAGAAAACCGAGAAACGAGATTGTGAGAACTGGGAGAAATCGACGAGGCCGTAAGTGCTCTTCAAGCTCAGCCTCCGCGCGACTTCCTCCGGTTTTTGTAAAAGTATCACGTGGCACGTTTCCCCATCGCGTTCGCTGCTATCAGAAACTTCCCACGTACCGCGTACGGAAACTGATTAGCTGCTCAGTCTGGTGATGAATTATAATATATTAGACCGCGAAGAAAAATTTTTGACCGCAATTAAGTAGGTGGCAATGCTGAGAAAACATGATAATAAAATAACACAATNACTTTCTGTCGGAAAAAAATNAATTCTATTTATATTTTTATTATTTATGTTGATTAATTATTTGCTCGATGTGCAATATTTTGTTTCAATTAAAAATTCAAAGACTCGTATCTTTATTCAATTGTAAATAAAANAAATCATTTGCACATTATAATATATCCTAATTAAAAACTTAGATTACTTTCGGATAAACAAAATAAGAAGAGTGTAGAATATTAAATATGTTTCTCTCCGCAATTCATACGCGAGACTTAGTAGTTGCNCAATCTCACGCCATCTCAATCCTAAAGATTTTGCTATTTCTTGAAAAAGGATACGTGGATAAGCTTACCTAAACAATCACGGTAATCGAAATAACGTGACCTCAATCTCAAAGAGAAAAAGAATTACCAGGATCGAAAAAAAGAAAGAAAAAGAAAAGAGAGATACGTGCCACATAGTTCGATGAGTTGCGTTTTCTCGAGGCGGACGCAATCAGAACGTTCGTTAACCTCACAACACACATCTCTTAGAAGTAATTGTCTAAAANAAAGAAAAGTTCCGACTGATCACTCACGTGTCTCAGGTATTCGTCACCGANGGGAAGCCCCGCGCAATCCGTGACGACAACGACTACGACGATGACGACGCCGGGCGGCGCGATGACGACGACGTCGACGATGCCGAGTGGCTACACCAGCAGGTTCGTAGCGCACGTAGCTCACGGTCAAACGACTGCTCATGATGAAGCCACTTCTAATTCCAGTAACCCCCTCGACCGTAATCGTTTTAGGGCGTTTAGTGCGGACGGTACCGGCGAGATACGGTACACGGCCGATCGCGTCGACGACGATAAATTAATCGCGACTATTGGCTCCGCGAGCCAAGCGGATCGCGCTTTTAACGACGCGATCGACGGGGACGCGCGTAAACCGCAGGCGACAAGCGTAAACGTTAGCTCGGCACTTACGGACGATATTACGGACACCGACAAATCGACCACCTCATCCATCTCCTTCATCCATCTCGCGAGTAACGAACTTCTCGAGGGTTGTCGCGTAGCGACTGATAATCGAATAGCGAGCGCGGCATCCAGAGACGAGGACGCGTATGCGGACGGTCGTTCCGGGAACGATGAGGTNGCCGCCGGTNACAANCAGAATGTGTGTACTATCGCGGCTGTCGACGATTCCGGGACGNGAGGACGCGACGCCGACGTCACATCCGAAAAACTTGATGAGTCCGAAGATGCACCAAGTTCCTTTCGAATCATTGTGCAGGACGTCGACGCGATTGTCACCGAGCAAGCTGTGTCAGATCGCGCNGATCGATCCGCCGAGACGATCGACGAGCGCAGAAATCGATCAAGATCCAAGGAGTCGCACACCATCTCCGAGTGTTCGAGTTNCATCAGCGGACGAACGGNATCCGACAGTGAGTCAGGAAGCGATTCCGAAAGAAGTTCCGAGGAAAACAGCGAAGAAGAGGACGAAGAAGGAGGAGAAGAAGAAAAAGAAGAAGAAAAAGAAGGAGAAAAAGAAGAAGAGGAAGTAGAAGACGACGAGTCCCGGGACGAGAATTGTAATGTGAAAAAAGCAAAGAAAGAAGCAAAGAGAAACGATGGAAATTCTGACGATAACAGCGAGGAGAGCGACGAGGAGATCACAGTGTTGAGTGTTAGCTCGAGCACACGGGGGGGTGAGAGCAGCCTGACGCACGACGACCGTTACGAGAGGGACCTGAAGCGTCGTAGCGCCTCGATAATCGACGAGAGGAGTATAGAGGAGATGTTCGACGACAATGGTTGGGTGGTCACGGAGCAGGATCTACAGCCCTTGTCCGGTTTCCTATTGGGCTTCGAATCCACAAACGTGGATATCGTNGATCGTCCCGATGAGACGATCGAGGAGACCAACATCGGTAACTTNAATAACGCAACAGGGACTCGTACCAAAGAGACCGTCTCAAAAATCGTCGAGCATAAACACGACGAAGTATCGAACAGTCCCGTAGATTNAACCGTGCGGTCGAGCACCTTCGACCACGTCGAGATACTAATTCCCACAAACGAAGAATCGTCCGATCCGAGTCTGGCCAGAAGCCGCGTGTACAGGCAGAGCAGTTTGGGTAAGAACGGATGGTTGGTGTCCGACGAATCCGAGAGCGAATCCGAGCGTGTCAACTCGCCGATCGAAGTTTCCGACAATCGAGACGACGCAAGGATCGAAGATAATAACATGGGCGGTATCGACGAAAACGGGTGGGTGATACTCGACGATGACAACGTNGGCACGGAGAGCGTTGGGAGTNGGAGCGCGTCGCAGGAGAACGCAANCGCGATTCGTNCCCAAACGACCGACTTTGTAACGAAAGCTAACATCGAGAACGGCGCGANAGTCGCGAACGCTAGCCGAACGAAGGGCAGTACCGAGCAGTCAGAGCCCGACGAGCATGAGGAAACCGATATCAGTATACCGATGCAAATGGTAACCACCGTCTTCTGTGTGTCCGTACTGTGTTACAGCGTTCTAATGAATCTGATCCTGTGATCCACACCGAACCTTCTCTTCCTCCGTTACACAGACGTACAGACACCAACGCACACACACGTTTCCTTTCGGTCTCTCTTCTACAATATTATCATTCGCGCTATTGGTTTTCTCGAAAAATTGATTGTCCAAATTGATAAAAGACTGCATAGAAACTTTTATGCAANGTATTAAAAAATTGAGAAGAGACTGTTCTGTGTTGCGCGTGCGAGTGACGATGCAGCAGTTTTACGATGAAAAAGTGACACGCTTTTATCTTGTTTAAAGACGTGCTTCAAGAATTTTTCACACAATTAAAGTTATTAAATTCTAATCCTAACTTTTTCTTCAATAAATTAATTAATTAACTAATTATATATTTAATTACAAGGTAAAATTTTTATCA